AGTTCATTCAGGCATCTAGAGCACAATATGTGCAGCAAATGGCCAGCCACAGCAGAAGCTGGGTCCTTGGAAAGCTTTTTGCTGCATGTCTGACTCCCTTTCCAGGAGTCCTAGCTGGATCCAAAAGGAAATTGGACTAGCAGGGAAAAGCTTGGAAAGCTGTTGCTGTTTGTCTGATTCTAGGTTCATCACCTAATTGGGGGGAGGCCTTTTAACTCCCACTTTTTTCTGGTTTTGTTTTTTTTTTAAATTGAAGAAAATGTGGGTTTCTGGGATGGAGGGAGATAACCAAGGGAAAGATTTGGGGAAGATCATCCTTGAAACTGTCTCCTTTGTTATGCTGGTGTCTGGCTTCCCCAAGTCTAGCAAAAGCCAGGAGAGGTTTGCAGTCTCCTGACAGCCAGCTGTTTGGAGTAGAGGCCTAGCCCATCAGCAGAGGCTTTATAATCCACGCACAGAGGCTTGTTTGGAAGCTTCTCTGGCATTGGAATGTGGTGTTGGGCCCTAATCTAGGTGGGCTTTTCCCTCCTGCTGAGCTGTTTTTCCACTTTGCAAAGCTTTTTGCTGCTGGTCTGCCTCCTTTATGGACACGGCTGGGTGATAGGCCTCTCCCCCCCCCCCCCCGAACTCCCCTCAATGCTCCACTTAACAACAGACACAATTGTTTAATGGCATCAGGGAGAGCAGGGGTGGGGGTTGTTAAACAAGGCTGTTTTGCTTAATGGCCATCCCCATTTGCGACTGTAATGAGCAGGCTCCATTATGGTCATAAGGACTACTTATACTTGAGGACTACTTATATGTTTTATGTATAAGAATTATATATTTTTTTTACAATAAATGTTTCTATAATAAATCTGTTCGTATCAATGTACTTTTTTACTTGTTTATGTTTATGTTTGAAATAAAAATTGAGGCTTTAGAGAAAACAGACACGATAATTTACATTTCCAAAGTTGCATTTACAGTAGAACACATGAAACTTTTTATTCATTTAAAATGTTTATATGGCTGCCCATCTTGTGGCACGCAACTCAAAATAGGTTAAATATGGATGTGGATAGTGGTCATATACAATATTTGAATAGGTATTATTGGATGCATCCTGAAAGCATATGTTTCTGAAGGCTTCCTGGTTCATGGCTAGCTTATTGTGGTATATGAGGGACTAAGCTCAAGAGGTGGGCAGGAGTAGACTTGTTGGAAAGTGGTGAAGTTAGTTCCTTAAATAACTACACAGTGTAAAGCCACTCATATTTTTGTTTTACAAAATCATATACTGTATCAACTAAAAAAGTTCCCAATTGTTGGTCTCATCCACCTTCTTTTACCCTACAGAACTATGTCATTTAGTAAAGTTTATAGAGTGACAAATGGGACAGCTTACCACTGTCCATTTTATGATATGAATGACTTACGTTTTCAAAGTTACCTGCACTTTAATGCATAATAATGCAAAAATGAATGAACTGGAAAACAACTAAGATTAAAACTTAAAAGTATCATTAATAAGTTAAGATTCATTAAACCATGAAAATAAAGTTTCTTCAACAAGAAATTAAACTTTGATCACATGGTATATTGATCAGTTTTCTCATGGCGATAGGAAAAAATCGGTAGTTGGTATAAACATGCCTTCCATCTAGGATTTTAATTCAAGTACACTACACCACAGTTTTTCCATTGAAGGAAAACATTCTTCTTAGCTGCTGCCCCTGCAGGATAAATCCAACATTGTTTGTGCTTTGGTAAGTTATAAATTTTAGCAATATTAGTCACCATTTTACTGACATCTTTGACAGTTATTTATTTTCTGAATACCCTATCTTAAAACCATAGGAGTAACACTTAATTTAATTGTATTATTATTGGCTGCCAAATGGCTTTGGGTGGCTTACAAGTAAAAGTCAACTTATTAAAAGAAAAATATAACAGATCAGAACAGCAAAGTTCAAAAATCAAAAGAAAACCAAAGCAAAACAAAACCAGAAAACTGGTCTAAAATCATCTTGTCCCCAAAGCCTGGAAGAATGATCAGAGCCAGAATCTTTGAGTGGGGAGGACATTCCAGATGGAAGGAATTGCAAAAAACTAAGCATGTATCTTGGGTCCCACAAGTTGATATTCTTTAATGAGATCTGAAGCGCACCCACCCTGTTGGACCAAAGCCAATGGGCAGAGATAACAGGAGATAAGAAATTCAGATAGCAAGGTTCTTAAGTATGAGAGTCATTAAAGGTGATAACCAGCATCTTGAATTGTACCTGGAAGCTGAATGGCAACACAACTGGATTATACATTTATAACAGGCCCCATTGCCTGTGCTACAACATTCTGGATTAGCTGCAGCCCATGTACAGCACGTTACAGTAATCCAGTTGTGAGGTAACTAGAACATGAATGATTGAAAGACTTTCTGGTTCTGCAAAGGTGCAACTTTTGCACAAGCTATACCCATGTAAAGGTCTTGGTTACAGCTTCCACCTGCTCTATGAACAAGAGCTGGTAGGCCAACATGATTTCCAGATTGCCCACATGCAATTTGCAGATTGCAGGCAGAAGTATAACCCTGTTGAAAACAACTAAGGAGATACCTTTGAGACCTGGAGGACCAAATAGAACAATCCCATATGCCTTCTAGGCATTGTATCTGGTTTCTCAAATTTCAGTAGGCTTTTCCCCTCAAGGTTTCTATCAAATCTCAATAAGACTAAAAGTGTGTTTGAAAATAAATATTGCAGAAATCTGAATTTTTCACCGATTTACAACCCCAAGTTACTGTATGCACTACGTTCTTTTTAGCATAGAGCTCGTTAGTAGAAAATTAATGAAGGTGATTATCCATCCATATACTTATTTATATTTTAGAGAAATTGTAAGCTGTTTTGAAACATTAAAGAACAGGTTCTTTAAAGATTACATTCTGCATAAGGGTAGCCTGAAAGGAAGGAATATCATGGATATGTATCTATGTTATGTTTTAAAATAGTATTAATCCATCCAGCCCAATCTCTAGAAGTCCTTGGAACTATATCTTTGTCTGATGTGTGACTAGACAAAGCAACTCACAAAGACATCCAGCAGAGAAGGTCTAGACTTGGACAAGGCAGCTTCTTCTGCCCTTCAGTGATTGATGAAACACATAAAAACAAGCGAGACAGCTGCTACAGAAGGATGGCATCAGCTTTCATTGCTATTGGCCAATGTATATTCTATTATAGTCTGGTGGATGAATCCACATCAGTTACAACTCTCACAACAAACCGATTGAGCAATGGTAGAACTGAATTGCCTTCAGCCACTTCCACTAACTTCAGCCCATTTCCAGTAACTCCCATCATTTCTAAGCAAGCTGCAAAGTTCTTCCTCTTTTCTGCAGCTTACTTGATATCTACATTGGATGCTAAGGAGGCTGGAGAAGCTTAACTTTGCTTTGCCAGATTGCTTCTTGATTGTACATGACTCCTGTTTTTTTGTGGCCTCCAGGCAAGGGCATTAATACAACACTGCTTTAGTGTATTGGAGAAATGTAACAGACATGCAAAGAATAACTTCGACCATCGTTTTTCTTGACAGTGGTGCTTGGGAGGCCATTTCTGTGGCTTGCAGATCATGGCATCTAGATTTTTTTTTATTGTCCTACACATCTTTATTGTCTCACACATTTGCACATTGAAGGGCTGACTTGGTAGAACTTGAATATTGCCATATGGTTGAGTGGGGCTTTGAGTTCACAGAAAACTAATGAGGGAGGTAGTTTGATTCACAATTACCCTATACAATTTTGAGTTACAGCTGACTTTTTCTTGACCTGCCTAGTGAATTCACAAAGCATCTACAATTTATAATGCGTAAATCCAATCAATAAGTAACAACAAATATAGGCCCAAGAACAAAAACAACCTAAAGTAAAATATAGCAAACACAACACAATCCAATAAAGTAGAGTAAAAGTTGATGAAATAAAAATGAGAGAAGATTAATAACGGATGTAAAACAAAAAAATTTTTTTTGTGGGGGGGAGAGTAATTAGCTGTTAGTTAATTACTTAATTTGAGATCAGACTCAGTCTCAGAGATCACAATTAGATAAAATTTCAGTCTGCATGTACAGAATTCTTGAACTGCTAATTTAGACAGGATCAGACCTCAGTAGCAGAGCATGCACTTTATATACAGAAGATATAGTACAACCAATATTTCCAGAATCAATATTTTTAAAAAATCAGACAAAAACCAGATACTGCTAGGTCAGTTGGGACAACATGACCTTCTGTTGATGTGATGCCATAACTCAGCAGAAAAAAATCCTGTGGTTCCCTTGGCTTGGCGAGCATTCTAGCATACAAAGTGTGTATATATGTGTGCGTGTGAAATCTGTTCCTCTCAATCATTTAAAATATATTATTGTGAGGCTGAAATATATTAAAGTTCTGTTAATCCAAAATTGTTGCAGTGAGAAGCAACTCCTTTAAATTACTTATGATTTAAAATCCTATTTGTGTTTCAATATGCTTAGAGTCAGGCGTGGAGGGGGAATCGTATTTCTTTATAATTCAGTCTGGCTAAATAAATTGGAAAGGGGACGTAACTGATGAACATGATTCATCTTCCTTCTCCACTATTTGGCTGAAGTTTGGGAATCATTTGAAACTGGAAAAAACAGATCCTTTTTTCCCCCTGTAACCATAGACCAGACATTCCCGTATGGCTGCAGCAGCTGTCATTCTTCGGTCTGTCTGTCTATTTGCCTCTTATTGATCTCTATCTGGATGTGTTCTTGGATGAAATCTATGGTGTTCAAGGGAACAGATAACTTTGTGAAAAAGGAAGGAAGGAGGTGTGGAACTGCAAGGAGGCGGACTGGAAAGCTGCTTTTCAGCTCACTATTAGCACACTCAATGAGACAGGGAGGGATTAGGGTGTATGTGTGTGCCTGCATGCCTGGAAGCAAACCTGAGCAAACATTGGGCTCTATTCTGATGTATCACAGCTTAGAAAATGAATAAACCCAATTTTCCAGATGAACACTTATCAGATTCACATGATCCCAGGAAACCTCCAGGGAAGAAAACGTCTTTAAGTCTCCACAGTTCCAGGATTTCTCTCCCTGCATCTTATTTCCTCATTTGCATCTCTATACTCCTTTTGCACCATGCTGCAGTTCTCCTGGGACATCCCCAGTGCCTGGATTATGGTCCTCCTTTCCAGCCTCCTTTCCATCTGGAGTTTTGCTCTGCCTATGAAACATTTGGCTGTTGTGAGCAAGAGAAGGACAACCACATTGCTGCCAAATACTGGGACATCATGGATTACATTGATCCTCAAGCCCAAAAACTATGTGGAGGATTCATCAAAGATATCTTGTGCCAGGTAAGGTAGTGGTGAGTAGCCTCATTTTCCTCATATGCCCTTATGATGCATATGATTGTTGGCTGTTTGGGCCTTTCTGAGAAATGGTGGGAATAGTAATTTAAGAATTTGCATTTGAGGTTGCCAGGATGACTTTTCTGCTGGTAAGTAAATTGAGCCTATTGAATGATGATAAATTCTTCAAATTTGCTTTACATGCAAATTATTGTTTTAGTTATATCTCCCAGAATCATTTGCTTATGACATGGACAACAATATAATTTAAATACATAGATGATAGATAAATAGATAGACAGATAGAAAGATAATTGCTAGCCATATTGTAATTGAAAAATTCTGTTAAACCAAACCAATAATTCAAGGATGACTCAAAAGTAGAAATTTGCCTTCTGATGAATTCACAGTTCCAAGTAAGTATGAAGCTGCAACTGGAGAGAGTAATGTTCATTTGCTCTTCTCTTCTCTCCAAAATTGTAAAGACAGCTTGAAAAGAAAATAAGTGCTTATGACTGAACACTAACGCCATTTTAGTCCCCGGTAAGCAGATGTTTCAAATTTCATACAGTACTGATTTGGGATAAGCCTGTTTGGACAGTGACAGCATTATGATAAATTATATATCCCTATCTATATAAAACACGCTACAAGAAGCAAAAATCAGTTTATGGAAGAATGATAATCTTCCTCTTGAATTGGCCTGTCTATCAAGCTAAGCCTCCCCTGCAAGACAGTTGTGAGCTCAAGAAGATTATGGAATGGTATATCCTGATGCAACAAAAAATAATCCACAGTGTTCAATTTGATGAAATTCAAAAAAAAAAAAAAATGTCAAAGGATTTGGCTGATTATTTCATGTTCAAAGGTAAAACCAAATGACCTTTTAATGTATTTTCAAATGCAGACTGAGGTAGACACCTCAGCAAACGAATCAAATCAACCCACAGATCTTGGGTTTGGGTTTCCGATTGCTATAAAGAAGGCGTTTAGAACGCATTCTTAATAACCTGCAATAAACATGCTCCTGAAGACAGTCTTAGACCAGACAGCTGGATTCATGCTTCTAGAACAACTGTTGGAATAGCCACCCTCCACCCTCCCCACCTTTCCCTGTCTCCTAGCCTGCTCCCTGCCTTGTCAAACCAGCTATCCCACTGGTGTGCAGGAGAACAATGAGTTTTTGATGGAACTCTTCCTGGCCTCCTGCCTACACCATTCATTGATTGAAGGATAGGAAGGGGTTTCCTTCTGAACTGAAGCCAAGCTATTGTGATTTACCACATGCCATCACTGAGCAGAAATCAATCAATCAAACAATCTCCCTCCCCCCCCCCAAAAAAAATCTACATTCTTCCAGCTTGTCATTCCTTCATCAATAACCTATATTACCTATGTTCTAATGTTGTTAAGTCAGCATAGAACTGTTTTCAAGATTCCATTTTGAAAATAATTGTACAGCTGTTGAACCTAAATTATTATGAGGGTCAGTGCAGTTTTGCAATTCATGTATAGACTATTATTTATTTATTAAATTTATTTTCCATCTATCTCATTTCGAAGTGACTTTAGATGGCTCGTGCCATAAAAACATTAAAATCATCAGAAATAAAATGAAAATGCAAACAAAGTAAAATCACAGTTACAAGATGGGGAAGGGGAGAGCGGGGTGGGGGGAAGGTGGGATTGTCTTTTAATCAACCACCTCCAGTATGTTACTTCCCCCCACACCGGTGGGGCCCCAAGCCATCTGGCACAGCCAGATCTGACCTTGTGGAAGGTCAGAAAGATGGGAGCCTATCTCGCCTCAGGAGGTAAGATATTCCAAAGGGCAGGAGCCACAGCTGAACAGAAAAGGATTAAGCTAAATCTTATTGCCCATGTGTACCAAGTTTCATTATTATCAGCTTATAGCTGATGAGTTTTGCATTATGAATTTGCACTTTAAATAAAATACGTTTTATTTACATCACTGTTGGAATCCCATATTCATTTTCCTAATACAAAAACTGTGATGTCACAGTGGCAGTTTAAGCAGATTTATTCAGGGTTGTGCTGTGAATCATGTCTATTTGGATCTTTTATCATGCTTGTTAAGTCTTGGCACACCAGCCCTTTCTAATTAGGCAGCTCCAAATCTGCTGGACTTCAACCTCCCAAATTTCCAGCATTCACTGTGATTGCTGAAAGCTGCAGACTAATGCATTTTGAAGGTTTACACAAATTAATAAACAAAAGTGTTATTAACTTCTACAAAAAAAATGATGTTAAATCTTTTTCTCTCAAATAGAAACCCCAAAGATTATAATATTCTGTTTTAAACCCTTCTTGGGCCTTTTCCCATTAAGGGCAGTTGAATGAATGAGAGTAAAATTGAAGACAATCCACCAGTAACTTTTGAGTTTTTGAAATTCCACCCGACTCCTGAATTCAAGAATGGAAAATTAACTGGGATCACCTTCAGACTGGGATACTTGGAGGGTCTAATCCTGACTCTTCGTAAAGAATTCAAGGATTTAGCTGATTTAAGTTGGTATATCCCTGAAAATCCCTGGTTGGGATCCTACTGGCAGAAACATCACCACCAACAGATCAACATGTATAAAAACAATTCTCCTGGCCTTTCAGCAGAACATTTCTGCATAAGCCAGGGAGATCTTTTTGTCCATTCTGAATTTCAATCAGCAGATTAGAATTGTTCTCTAAAGCTTTGATTGATTAGAAAAAGTCTGCAGCTATATGGGAATCTGATTTCAAGACATTCTTTTGTAGGAAAGGAATATGGTGCAGTAAACTTAAACACCATCTGAATCATCTAATATTAGGGGCTCTCAGGAAGAAAGAAAGGAAGGAAGATAAGAGAGAGATGCTCACACAAGCAGATAATATTTTACAGCTGCTATCTAGAGTTACAGTAGCATTTATACACTACTTATCACTAATTCTATGTAGATCTAAACTGAAGACTATGTAGTGCAAACAATTTTTTTAAATGAGCAAATGGAATCATTAAACAGTGGACACTGTGGGAATGAAATTTTAATATGCCTAATTCTTTTTGAGGGAGAATAAGAATAACAAACAGAACGCCCCTTCAATTACCACCTCACATGTAAAAATGAAAAGCAGCAGAGGGGCTGAGTTTTTCTTATTGTTAAGGCAATTTTATTCTTATGTCAACCCAAAGAAATGTCTTAATTTTATGCACGCTTAGTCACAATGGATATTACTTGTATTCTTTGATATAAAAACAAAGCAGGGACAAGATTTGGACTTTAAGCAATAGATCACAAACCTAAGGAAATGTGAGAAAATAAGTATTGATTTGTTCAGTTACATTTTTTAAAATAAGTAACACCCAGGGGTGGGATTCAAATTTTTAACAACCAGTTCTGTGGGCGTGGCTTAGATGGTGGGCATGGCTTGGTGGTCATGTGACTGGCTGGGCGTGGCCAACTCAACATCACTCACATCGAGGCACACATCTCCTCGCCTGGCCTCTCATGACTGTGGGGATGCTGCAACAGTCGTAAGTGTGAAAAATGGTCATAAGTCACTTTTTTCAGTGCCATTCTAATTTTGAATGGTCACTCCACACAAGCAAAGTACTAACAAAGGAGGAAAAAAAACTCCAGAGAAGTTCCTGAGACAGGAAGTCTAGTCCTGCCAAGAATGTAATAGGAGTTAATGGAGAGGCAGTTTCTGTAAGCAACACCAGAATGTTTCCTTCCTGCCTTCCTTACAGGATTAGGCCAGTAATTTCTTCTAACAACTGGTTCTCCGAACTGCTTAGAATGTTAACAACCGGTTCTAGAGAATAGGTGCGAACCTGTAGAATCCCATCCCTGGTAACACCTTTGTAGGTTTCACTTATTTTAAAATTTCAAACTAAGTGTGTATTTTCCTACAGGTAACAGGATTTAAAAGAACACAAAAGACCCATACCAATCAACCCCCTCTATAGATTGGGCATTTTGCCTGATCTGTGTGATTTGAAAATGTTTCAGTTAGAACGTTTTCTTAGAGCTCAGGCCTGAATCACGCTGCTGACCTTGATTGCTCACTTGTTCCCTCAATCCAATCTCTTCAGGAACTCTTCAGATAATTTGCTTTGCATGGAAAATGCTGCTGACATTTCCCATTAAAGATATCAGATAGCAGTTGATGGAAAAGAGCACTGCTACCAGAAACCATAATTTAATCATGGTAAATTGGAATCAAAGCTTGGATTTAACTGGTTTAATAAGATGGTTTTTAGGTGCTGTGAAAATATAAAATGCGTGAGGTAAATGCAACCTCTTCAAATAATATATGACTTTTTCTGGAACCTTCTGAGTTACTGGGCCCCCATTAGAGGTTCAAATTTAATTTAATTTAATTTTTTTTCACTTTTAGCCTTCCTAGCTAAAATATAACATAGTTGTTTTTATTTTAACCTTTCTCTTTAAATTATTATCTTAATATTTTAAGCTATGGTAACATATGCTTTCCAAGCAATCAATTTTAAATTAATTCTTCATGATATTTCCTCAAGTTATCTCCTTTGCTTCACCCCCCCCCCCCCCAAATATTACCCAGCATCTGATGTTTGACTGTCTGCTGAATATAAGGACTGGACGAATAACACGTTCTTAATCTATATGCACAATAGGGAAGTCCAGATTTAATATTCCATGTTGCAATCAATGGGTTAATGACTAATGACTATGTTGGAAGCAATGTATTATTTATTCCTCCATTCTGCAGGAAAAAAATAGAAATATTTTTAGATTATTGTATTCCTTAAAGAACAGGAAGTCCTGCCGATATGAAATGTCTTTGTAACTATTTATTCACACTTGAGTTATGCAGATGCAAATGGTCGAGCAGATGCAAACAGCCATAGTCATAATGTTTTCGAGAATAACAGAGTGTTTTAATCTTTAACAGGAATGCTCGCCTTATGCAGCCCATCTCTATGATGCTGAGAACCCCCAGACGCCCCTTCGAAATCTCCCTGGCCTTTGTTTTGACTACTGCTCAGAATTCCACCTCTACTGCCGTTCTGCAATCACACTGCTTACAGATGACAGGCACATTCAAGAATGGTGTGAGAAGAACAGGACCCAATTCTGCAACATCTTAAACATTCAGGATAAAGACTATTGCTTTCCTGATGTAGTGAAGAACACTGACCTTAATAATAATTTGGGTGTTGTGGTGGCAGACAAGAAAGGTTGCCTTCAGTTGTGCCTCAAAGAAGTGGCCAATGGGCTGAGGAATCCGGTGCTCATGGTGCATGCCAATGACAATACCCATCGGATGTTTGTAGCTGAACAAGTGGGCCTTGTGTGGGTTTACCTCCCAGATGGAAGTAGATTAGAAGAACCTTTTCTAGACATTAAGCAATTGGTGCTGACTACCCCCTGGGTTGGGGATGAGAGGGGCTTCCTTGGGATGGCTTTTCATCCCCAATACAAAGAAAATGGGAAATTCTACATCTATTACTCCTACCAGGACAAGAAAAAGGTAGAAAAAATCAGGATTAGTGAACTGATGGTCTCCACAGCTGATGTCAACAAGGCGGATATAACCACAGAAAGGCAATAATTCCTTTTCTCTACTTGCTTTCTTCCAAGGCTGGGGATATATTTGCTCATTTCATTTACATAAAACCTTATATGATAGGATAGACCAAAATAGAATACTAAGACCATGGATAACCCATTTCAAAAATAAATAAATCAAATTAAGAACCACTTATACAAATGCTACAAATGCATGTAATCTATTTTTCTTGCTGCTAAGCAAGAGAAGTAACATTGTGGTGTTAAGCCAAGAACACATTTATCTATGATACACATCAATCTTTAGCCTACACCGTTTTAGAGCAGTGGTCTTTAACTCTTGTGTGACTCTGAAGCTAACTAAAATTCTGATCTATAAACAGGCTTTTCTGTTGTTTTCACTGAGATATGACATGCCTGATATTTTAGGGTCCTGATTTAGAAGTCAACCAATGTCCAATTCAGAACTAGGATTATTCATGAAGGTACAGAGGAGTCCTAAAAAAAGCTTCATGAGATCATGTTCTTTTTAACCCTGCAACCATGCCTGAATATTCCCATTTCAAAAGACAGGGACCTTCATGAGTCTATTCTGAGATGATAATGGCCTATGCAGAAGACCATTCATAGCTTCAGTCATACTCCAGAATTGTGCTGACTAGCAGTTTTGATACAAAATCAGAGAAGAGCAATTATACTTTGCTAAAAAATTGGTGGCTCTATCCTACCATCATGGAAGCATGGATGCTGAAGGACATTGTGTCCTGACCCAGGTTTTATCATGTGCCTCTGATCAGCTTCAGCAGAAACACAGAAATAGCAAAAGAATGCTAATGTCCTTTCTTTGCTTAGTGTAAGAAAAGTTAAACAAAAGCACTTAGCAGCTTTTATGATTAATGCCTGAATAAATAATCTGTTTGCAGGAAATCCTTGAAAGCCATCCAAGACATCCAACTTTATCTATGTGTGTTTCTTCTTCTTCCCCTTGCATATTGTTTCTCTTTTCTTCTTTAGGAATCTCTTAGAGATTGAACAACCAGCTGCGAATCATAATGGTGGAGAGATCCTGTTTGGGCTAGACGGTTACTTGTATCTGTTTACTGGAGATGGAGGGAAAGCTGGGGACCCTTTTGGTAAATTTGGAAATGCTCAAAACAAGTAAATATATCCACCTTTCATTGCATTTATATGGAAAGTTTGTTATTGTAACTATTGCAAATTAATTTTTATTATACTTCAATTTTTATATTGAGAGCTAGTTTGAAGTAGTGGTTAAGCCATCAGGTTAAAAACTGGAAGACTCTGAATTCTAGTTCCGCCTTAGGCACAAAGCCAGCCTTGGGCCAGTCATTTTGTCTCAGCCCTAAGGAAGGAGGCAATAACAAAACACCTCTGTAAAACCTTGCCAAGAAAACTGTAGGGACTTGTCCAGGCAGTCTCAAAAAATCAGATATGATTGAACCAAAGGGGAAAAATCTTTTTATCATTTTTAAAAACTATTTAATAAGACTGTTTTAAATATTATTGATAAAATGTCAGGTGTGCACCTTTCAAATAATGCTGCAATTTCTTAATATAAACTATTAAATAAAGTTACTAACAGGCATATGCCAATAGTCCCTTATAACAATGGAAAATATCAGAACATATATTCAGTGCATGGTAAACAAACAGACAAACAAACCAATTAGATTTCTTAATATACCGCTCACATTTGAGTATGTTACTGTAAATATTAATATTCTGTATATGGAGATCAAGCCTTGGCTTAAAATTTCATTCAGGAGATTAGTTGCATGATGAAATAAAAAATAAACCAAGATTTCCTCTGCTTCCCAAAGCAGGCTAAATATCTATTGAGGCTACCTCACAACTACTAAATTATTTGCTGAGTAGTACACTATATTATTTCATCTATAGTAGTTTAAACCAAACCAGACCAATTGTCCATTTTTTACTTATTCTGGACTTAACTGGATTGTCCATGCTTTGACCAGTGCCTTCTTATGTCTTGCTTTTTTCTTAGGAGTAGCTTATTAGGGAAAGTTTTACGGATTGATGTGGATGGAAAAGGTCCCCAGGAGAGGCCCTACCGCATTCCCCATGATAATCCTTTTTCCTCGGATCCCAAAGCTCGCCCTGAAGTCTATGCATATGGTGTGAGGAACATGTGGCGCTGCTCTGTGGATCGTGGAGATCCACTCAGTCACAGGGGAAAGGGACGAATTTTCTGTGGAGACGTCGGCCAGAACAGGTTTGAAGAAGTGGATATAATTATTAAAGGCGGGAACTATGGTTGGAGAGCCAAGGAAGGGTTTGAGTGCTATGATACGAAACTGTGTCAAAATTCCTCACTAGGTAAGTATTATAACATCTCAGGGCTGCTAACAAGATGAATGCCAATGTGTAGGTATCTTATAGAAAGAAGCTTACTACTTTCGTTAAAACAATAAAAGTAGTGTTATGGCATGGAAACCCCTTTCGTGCATACATGTAATATCACAATACACATAAAAAAGGGATGTGTGAAGCTTCTTTATTTTACACCCCTCTCCCCTTGCTTGCTTCTTACATGCTGCTGCACCTACATCCTTAGAAGTAAGTGAAGGCCCCACAACAAGGGTCAACCTATTGCTGAAAACCATCCAAGGAATTAACTAATCAAAAATAGACATACATAACTCCACCCCAACAGTCATGGAACCACCCATATTTAACAAACTGAGCCATTTTGCATACTTAAGAAAGATTGCTGGTGAGAAACTGTTGCAGAAAAGGCTAACCAGGGGTGGGATTCTACCAGTTCGCACCTATTCAATAGAACTGGTTGTTAACATTCTAAGCAGTTCGGAGAACCGGTTGTTAGAAGAAATTACTGGCCTAATCCTGTAAGGAAGGCAAGAAGGAAACATTCTGGTGTTGCTTACAGAAACGGCCTCTCCGTTAACCCTTATTACATTCTTGGCAGGACTAGACTTCCTGTCTCAGGAACGTCTCTGGAGTTTTTTTTTTCCTTCTTTGCTGGTACTTTGCTTGTGTGGAGTGACCATTCAAAGTTACAATGGCACTGAAAAAAGTGACTTATGACCATTTTTCACACTTACGACTGTTGCAGCATCCCCACAGTCATGAGAGGCCAGGCGAGGAGATGTTGCCTCGATGTGAGTGATATTGAGTTGGCCACGCCCAGCCAATAACATGACCACCAAGCCATGCCCACCAACTAAGCCACACCTACAGAACCGGTTGTTAAAAAATTTGAATCTCACCCCTGAGGCTAACCCCCACCAATGCATGGCCCTATTTTTGTCTGCCTGCTCCATACAACAGGTAATGATATGACAAAGCCTTGATAGTACTCCCTTGTCACAAAGACTCATAGGATATGAGATACAGCACTAAAATATTACAAAGTGGGTGGGATTATGTGTTCTCCAAATCATGTTTTTTTCTTAAACTAGCTAGCATGTTTATGTGCTGCTAAAAACTGGCATGGAACATAGAGTGGGAACAGGCAGGATCTGTCAAATCACAAGTCTACATTAAGCTATTTATTTAAGAGATGCAGGCATCCTCAGGATCCGGCTGTTTTTCTCAAAATGGCAAAATGTATTGTGGAGTTGTGCCACAAATTCCACCTCTCTATCAAAAGGTGGATCATGCAGCTTGTAACCTTATGTTAATTTGGGGATTTGGCCTTCCCTGGATTTCTTCTGCAAACACTGCAACTAAAACCTTTCCTGAGTTTCTAAATTAGTATGTTACTTCTATATATGTCAATCCAGTAGAAACCCTTGCCTTTTTGTTTATTTTTGAAAACAAACAAACAAATAAATAATCTTTAAATAGATACTTGTGCAGGCCTCTTATAAGACTGTTTACATAATAGATTGCAGTCATCATTGGGTTAAATGACAAGTACATCAGTACTTAATCAAGAATAATATCATGCAAATAAATTTTCTCCGGATAACACACAGTAGAAAACAATAACTGTGTGTGTGCTTATTGCTCATAGATTAAGGAAGCAGTGTTCACAGAAATGGTGCCCTATACTACTATTAACTGAATGCCCTAAAAGGGCACTGGCCTGTTTCTGAGATACTATTCCCCTAATAAACTTCTCTTAACTTGGGTTTGTTTTGTATAGCTATAAATCTTGAGGGTCCTTCTCCTCTGCTGGTTTGGCTATTTAAGGATTGACACACTGAAAATGTAGATTCTTATTAGTAGATAATAATCAGAAGTTAACATTGGCATTGCTCTTGATCAGGAGATTTTTGTTTCTTTTTAGATAATCCAACTATTTCAGTTGATGAGTAACCTCTATTTCATTTTAACAGAGGATGTACTTCCAATATTTGCTTATGGACGTTCTGTAGGAAAATCAGTCACTGGTGGATATGTTTATCGAGGGTGTGAATCTCCAAACCTCAATGGTCTTTACATTTTTGGTGACTTTATGAATGGGTAAGGAAGACAGTTATTTCATTTCACTTTTAAATACACTGAAGTGTGTAATATAAGGAGAAGGACAAAGTATATTGATACAAATAAACTTTGTGATCAGATAAAATTCTGTTTATCTTGCCTGAATATGCGAAACATTTGTTTCTTTTTGATGTTCTCAGTGTTGCTCACTATGATTATTTATTTATTAAATTTATACACCACCCATCTCACTGTTGAGGTGAGATAATTATGCTTATTCAATTCTGCAATTCCCCCAAATTTAAGAGGTTCTTTATCAGCTTTTACTTCAAGCTACAGCTGGCCATTACAGACAGTCTGAACAGATGGCTGCCCAAGCTACGGGTCTTTAGCACATTCAGCCCAAATATATATCTGAGATTATATATTTGAAGATAGTGTGACCACATTAGGTTAAGGCCAGTTTTTAGCAAAACATCAAAGTACATGAAGTGACCATGGTAGAGAAATTCAACGCCATCTTTCTAAAGCAGTGGCCACCAACTGATGGTCTGTGAGAAAATTTTGGTGATCCGCAGAAAAAATATTTGCATTTTTTATATTATACTAAATCAGAGGTCCTCAAACTACGGTCCCTGAGCCGGATATGTGCAATGAATCTTTGTGTTGCTGCAGAAAATCTCCCCCTTCAGGGTCTTTTTGTGCCTGTCGGAGGAGGGGCAGAAATTCTGACTTGGGATTTGCTTCAGCCTCCTGGTGCTTTGGGCGAAGAGCCAGAGAACCTTGTTCCAGTGGGACGGCATCATGGCCTGGAACTGGCTGACCATCTCAGCCTGCTGAACTTCCAGGTGATGGTACCTGGCCTCGCACTCATGCAGGTCTTCCCTCTGCTTGGAAAGCCTATGCTTGTAGTCCTCAGTGAGGTGCTTCTGATGAGCCTCCTTCTCGATCAGATCCAATTTGAACTAAGCCAGCTCTTTCTCATGGTAGCTGCTTAGCTCCTAAAACTGCTTTCTGTTGGGGCCCTAAGGAGCCTGGGCAGGCAGGCGAGGTGTGGTTGGGAGGGGAGGGAAGGGGAGAGGCCAGCAAGGCACCCCTTGATATGAGTGACATCAAGTTGGCCATGCCCACCCAGTCACATGACCACCTAGCCACATTAGGTCATTAGGCAGATCATATTAGTGGTCTGTGGGATTTAAAATTATGAATTTAGTGGTCCCTGAAGTCCAAAAGGTTGGTGACCCATTCTAAAAGTCTTGTTCCTGTTTTAATTGCTGTCACTGTGTACACAAAGTTTTATCACCTAGGTTTTGATAATTCTCACCATAAAGTGTTATCACCTATTTTTTACAGTTCTCATCAGGCATTGCTATGCCTCAGTTGCAAATATTCAGGTAATCATTCCTTCAAGACAATCATCTGAAAATGAGTGTCCTTCCCATGGGTACAACATCATGAATCTACATCTAAAAACTACTCATAGGACCAGTTCTGACAAGGAAAATATATGCACATTATTTAAATGGGATAGAGCAATAAATGGCTATTGCCCATCACATCTAATCCCCATTACATCTAATTAGTAAGCTCAGTAGCCAAGGATGATGAGAATATATTCCCTAAATGTGTCTGAAGGGTCACAAACTTCCTATTTCTGGGTAATAGAGAAATAAAGGAAGTGACTTATACTGAGTCACCATATTGATGTTTGTAGTTCAGTTTTGTTATACTGAAGTACTGGTCTAAGCTTTCAAGTGAAAGTTTTGAAGACCTTTTTTTTTAGAGAGGCTGGGGGTTGAACCTAGGATATTTTGCATGGAAGCAGATGCTCCAACATGGACCTATGTCCTTTTCTTAGTGAATGAAGTAGGCTCAGGTCACCAAGGTTTAAGTTCATTTTTGCATAAATTAACTGTGTGTACCACCATTATTTTTTAAAACTTCAAACTATTGTGGAATTGCAAAATAAAAATAAGATTTAATTTTGTTTCCCCATTTAGTCGACTTATGGCTTTGCAGGAAGATGAGAGAACAAATACATGGAAGAAACAAGATATTTGCATTGGTAGCATAAAAGCCTGTGCTTTTCCAGGGCTCGTGAGTTCGTACAGCAAATTTATCATCTCTTTTGCAGAGGATGAAGCAGGTAACCTGTTTCTTAAATCTTATTTCCCACATCTTGAAAATGGGGTGTTTGGAAGATCTAATTCAAAGAAGTATATGATTAGTACAGGGATACCTAAGTCACTGCCTTGCCAAAATTGAATCTGCCATCTGGTCTGAAATGACCTGCTGGGAATCCTACCCCCCATGACAGGTTTATGGGTAGAAGTGAGAGGATTGGTCTTTTTTTATAATCATCTCCACATCTGGCGCAAGCTTCCCCAGAGAGATTTCACAAAAGAGTTAAAACAGTATTATTCTACTAAATGATTGACTTGAATTTATTGGGCATGCATGCATCTTTTTATTTAATTTTGGTTGATCATATTTCTGTTTTATTCTTGCTTTGTGTACTGCCAAAATGTTTTAATTGTTTGGGGGCAGTCTACACATATTGTGTACACTTGCATATACGTGTAATTAACTAATTAAACTTGTATGCCTTTATGCTGTCTTTCCAAAGATGCCTTTGGTCACAGACAACATTTTTGAATAAGTAGGCATGCTCGAAAGATTTAGAGCTTACTGTGGATGCTTTTACAAAATGGCTATTACGTGAATATTTGCAAAATTTCTACCATGGCCAATCCCCAAAAACCATTTATCAGAAAGCAACTTGTTAGGCTGCTCCTGCCAAGTCTCTGGGATTCACAGAGATATCTTTAAGATGCTAATTTTCCTATGTTTTGTTTCCCATCAAATAGACATAGTCCCAAAGTCCTGCCATCTACTTTACTTCCTAAGAATGCTTGTGGGCTAATGTGAAGCACGCAGATCAATCTAGAACCAAAAATTATGCTTGAGGCTGACACTGTATGCCATTTTCCCATTAAAATGTGCTTCCAAAGTTAAAAACACCTTTAAAAATTTAAAGTGAGGAGCAGATGCCAAGAGAAATATCTGGTCATTCATGCTGCATAGTTCTATACCAGATAGAGCTTGGGTGTCAAACTGGTGGCCCATGGGCTGGATGCATCACGCACAGCCACCCCAGCTCCACAAAGGGGAAAAACATCATGATATGTCATGTGACAGCAATGTGCCACTATGAGTTTGACACCCGTGAGATAGAGCATTGTTCTTGCTTGTATTAGAGGTAGGCAGGCATGGCTGACTAGCAATCAATACAGCCAAATCAACTATATTTGTTATTCTACCAATAGCTTAAAACTTTCCAGCTTTTATATCTGACAGAAATCGCAAGAGCAAGAGTAAGTAAGAAAGACAGTCTGGATGGTTATAGTACTCAGCTGCCTCCAGCCAGATGGGACCTATAACACAAGCCATCCAAAGGAGAACTAAGAACTAAAGCAGTCTTGTCCAAAGTAGCCCTGTTACTGGTACACATCCTTCCTTTTGTTATTTCCAGGTGAACTTTATTTTATGGCTACATCTTATCCAAGTGCCTATGCTCCAAATGGCTCAATTTACAAATTTGTGGATCCAGCAAGGTTAGTGCCTCTTCCAAGTTCTGAAAGTTTTTTTCTTGAGCTACTTTAAAAGAAAAGAGAAGAAAGACACCTGCAATTGCGTAGACACCCTCATGAATCAATCTGACTTCAGTTTCATGAATGACATCTGTGGATGGATTTACATTATAGAGAAGTTACTTTTTCTTAATGCAGGAGTGCACAACTTTTATTTGTATTTTTTCCCCTCTGCAGCTGGGAAAACTTTTTCTCCCCTCAGGGATTAGGGAAAGGAAGCGTTTAAAGCCATATTTCTTAGCCTCCACCATTTAAAGATGTGTGGACTTCAGATGGCTAGGGAAATTCTGGGAGTTGGGGTCCACATATCTTAAAATGGCAAAGGTGGAGAAACTCTGGATTAGAGAGCACAGTCTGTATTAGTCCCGTATTGAAGCTGCTTCCCAGTAAAACAAAACCTGTCAGAAAAAGCTGTCCCAGAACTAAAAATGTGGAAAAAGATGAAACACATTTAGTTATAAACTCTAATTTGTGCCCTAACAACCTGAAAGATTGTTTAATGATCTCAAATACAGCTTTTTTTACAAATAATTTGAATTTAGCACCATGACGAAAGCTTTCTTTTCTCTGCTCAGAAGTCATATGAACACCAGTTCTGTGTGTGAAGGTACTGAATGTGGTGAAATCTGTAATATTTTAAAAAGCACCCTTTTTAAAAAAGCACCCCTATTTAAAAATTATTGGTCACATCAATATATGTTCAGTGTTCTGCTTTTTCATCATGCTGGTCCATTCATCATTTTAACCTTAAAGCAAAGAAATTATATTAGAGTGACATATAAGCCATTCCACATGCTTGCTGTTAGTTGTCTCTAAGAAGCCATTAATTTACTGAATCTGCATCTCTCCTCCCACCAATCCAGAGGAGTGTTTATATTACCACCAACATGGGAATAAAAACAACAACAATAATGGTTCAAGTAATCAGTGTTTTAAAAGAGGCAAGGGGATAAGCCTGGGCCCGTCCTCCAAAATCTGTTTCGTTCATCTCTCTGTGCATCACTGGAAGCTATCATGTTCTTTCTGTTCTGTCTTGTTCTTATTTAGAGGATAGCTTTATCCTAGCCAATGCCCTCCAGATGTGTTGGACTCTAATTCTCATTTGAAGCATGTAGTCCTCCAACATATCTAACCAAGTGCCAGTTTAGGGAAGGCTCTGTGGTAAGCAAAACTCAAGGAAAGTTGGCCTGTAGGAGGCTCTGCGGGACTGACAGCATGGAAAGCAGACAAAAATATATCTTTCCATTCCATCTAAATTAGGTGTATTTATTTTAAAATGGAGGATTACCATAGAGTTTGTCTGCAATTGAGGAACGAGTCTAAGACAAACATGAAAACTCCATTGATAGACTTGAAGTGAAAGCACTGGATATTGTACACAAGAGCAAGCCACACTAAGAAAAACAGCAGCAGCATCAGCAAAAAAAAAGGAGAAAAAAAATATCTGCTTCTCTTTTTATGAAAGGATAGAAAAACCAAATGTAGGAAATGTCATTTATACTTTAAAAAGGGAAGTATTTACATTGGAAATTTCAGGATTTGTATTTGAGCTATTGATTTCAAATGATTACATGTAGTACTTGTTTAATGAACATTTGCAGTTACAATGGTAACTTTACAATCAATCCTCACATTTACAGCCTTTGTGGATAAAGAAAAAGCTGAAGTAAAATAATAAACACAGTCATGATTTCACTTAGTCACTGCTTTGCATAATGAGCTGAGCTGCTGGCAACAATTGTGGTCACTAAAACAGACTACCTGTACATACAATGCAAAATTGGCTGCTGAGCCTATAGTTTGCAGCTGTTGGTTTTGCTTTTAAAGATGCCATAGCTTTGAGCTGTTGGGATAAGAATTGTATGTATGCAGACATGTATGTGAAATCCTTTTGACTAAAACATTTGAAAGGAGAAGGGATCAACATTGTTCATTCTATGCAATTGGCATCTGTTACAGATATCTATACATTTAATAGATAGCAAATATATTCTCTTGTTTTCTCAGTAAAGTTAGGACATAAAATGGTAACAGCTATGGGCTACTATAATGTCAAGGAGTCCAAATATAGAATTCAAACATGGGTGAGAAAGATGTAACCCTTCAGAAGTTGGTTTATCCCTTTCCTCATCCCAGGGAGGCCAAGGGTTAGAACTTAATACCTCAAGGACTGCTTTCCTTTAAGACGTGTGGACGACCATGATTGTCAAGAAGTATTATGCAGTGTTCCTATGGGAACCGACTCTTTGGTGATGAGATGTCATATGACAGCTCTTTTCTAACCACTTCTGGGGGCACTCCCCCCCCCCAAATAAGCAAATGTCAGGAGAGGTTTATTTACTCAGGAACTCTTTCAGTCATGTTAATACGGTACCAGCCACAGGTCTACCTTCCCTTTTTTCATATAACTATTTTTTCCCGACAAAATGTTCTTAGTAATCCTCCAATTTTCAAACTCTTAATACATTTTGTGCTAGCTAGACTAATAAAGTTACTGTTGTAATATGGTTTGTCTTCCTTCTGGCCAACATATTGGCCTGTGTTTAAAGTCAGTTAATTAGCAGAGCATGGAAAATATACAAATGCAATTATGATCTCATTGGCAGGTTATGTAAATTAGGAATAATACCCATTTTAATTAGAAAATATATTAACAACTTCCTTAATTAAAACCATTATTCTGTCAAGGAAAGGATTCAAAACAAGGCACCTAAAAAGAGTCAAAATGGCAATTGCACTACTGAAGCCAACCTTTTAAAGATATGTCCTGACTTTTTTGGATACTGTTCTTTAGTGCCCTTATTCAAAAGGAATAATTATAATTTTAATAGCAAAAAGTCCAAAATGTTGGTTTTTTTGCATTTAAATAGAATTCATTGAGTACACTTATTACCTTCTTTGTATTTAATGATTTTCCTGTTTGGAAAAAGCCAAAAGGTCCGCAACCCTCAGACTGCACACCTTTGAATTACTCAAAAATTCCTTCATCCCCCTAGGGTAAAAAACAAACTCCTTGTTTATATTGAGATGCCCAGATGTATTTTTATGTGATCCAATTTGTGTTTTAGGAGAGCTCCACCAGGAAAATGTAAACAGAAGCCGGTTCCAGTGAAAACAAAGAGCAAGCGGATCCCATTTGTTCCAACTGCAAGTAAGTCAATAAGATTTGGGTTTGCTGCTGTTTGTTTATTTTCACTATGTAATAGTACAAATATTCAGACATACTGAAAGGAAAGATTTGTTCAGCTTTCAACACTTTCTTCCAGGTCCCAAGAAGTCAGTTCTTCAGCAAGAAATTGTACATTGTTTCTGTTCTATTCCCACTTCTCACACATAAGCCATTGTCCAGATAATATAGTTGATCAATGATTTCTGTGCTCATTTACTGATAACATGATAGCATGATTTGGCAGTGCTTCTTAATTTGTGGTAGAAATACCATTGGAAGTAAGGAAAAATAGTTCAGGGTAGATGCCGCTTTTCTTCCCAAATGGGAAAAGAACTCTGGAAAGGACAGAGGAGAGCCGAGCTAATGGGCAACGTTACTGGTCTCTAATCAAATCCATCGAAGCAAAGGCATCTTAGCAAGTAATTCCTGGAAACCAGGACTGAGGTAACGTCTGGAACGATTGGGTTTGAGAATCTAAATAATTAAATACATTTCCCCCAACTCTAAAGAGAAATTTTATGACAGTGAAAACAATTCATCAGTGGGATGGCTTTCCTCCAGAAGCTGTTGGTGCTCCAACGCTGAAGTTTTAAGAAGAGATCGCACAGCCATTTGTCTGGAATGGTATAAGGTCTCCTGATCAAGCAAGGAGTTGGATTTAGAAGTCCTCCAAGGTCTCTGCCTACCCTGGTATTCTGTGTTATTCTTTCCTTAGGTTTTGTTCATTATTTAGTTGTAGGTTTTGATTTTGATACAACTGTTCTCAAACACTTTCTATCCCAGAGGTCTCCAACCTTGGGCCCTTGAAGCCTGGTGGACTTCGACTCCCAGAATTCCCCAGCCAACTTTGCCCAAGGTTGGAGATCCCTGTGGTACTGCATTTTAATGTTTTTAAGTCTTACCTTAACTGATAAATATAATAAAGAACTACCTCTAAACATCCTTCCTTCCTTCCTTCCTTCCTTCCTTCCTTCCTTCCTTCCTTCCTTCCTTCCTTCCTTCCTTCCTTCCTTCCT